TTGGAATCTGACATAAAGTCTACCTTTCTAACCCCAATCATCAAGAATGTGAACACATACCTTTTCTATTTTCCAGCTGGAATTTAGCACCAATATCAAGTAGGTATTTTACAGTATCCAGTCTACAGCTTTCAATGGCTCTAGTTAAAGGAGTTGAGTTGCTGATTGAAAGTGCATCTATTAAAGCTCCAGAGTTAACAAGAAGCTCGACAATGTCTTGTTGGCCTGCGTGGCATGCAAAATGGAGTGGAGTCCACAGAAAATTATCTGTTGCATTAACGTTAGCCCTGTAAAATAAGACAGGTGCACAAACTAAACATATTGGTTATTCCAAGCACTGAAGCTAAAAATGCAAAGTAAGATTTCACACAGTTTTATCAAGTTGTTAAATTGTAAACCAGAGGAGTTCTGAGTAAAGTTGAACAGTGCCATAATTTTTCTTCAAACCTCTTCTGCATTATTTGGCAGTCTTAACTTTCTTTATGTATCTACACATTTTCTTTGTGTATCTACAACGTTAGTTTTAAAGGCACTTAGATCCGAGACATTATAATTTTTGCAAAGTTTAAAATCAAGAATAATTATAAAACTGGATCCAATGAAGATAAAAGCTGACAGGAGATATAAAAGTTATATTATTCTATTTTGTGTCTACTTTCTCTATGTGTTATGAATATTTAAATGAATCTTCTTTATTAAAATTCTAAGCATTATAATGTATTTAAAGTTTTAGTCCTTTTTAGAAATTGTCCAAAAGTTCAAATTCTCATTAGGTGCTTTATACTCTTGATAATATACAAATTTGAGTCTTTCTTTGATATTAAATGTTATAGTGATAATAACATTAATACATTTTCTAAAGTGTGCAATTACTGCGCTGTTTTACATAGTGTAACTCATTTAATCTTCAACAAATTCTGATAAGTCCCATTATGGCCCCATTAGATAAATGAGAAAACTGAGCACAAAAACGTTAAGAAACTTACCCCAGGTTATACAAGGATGATCAGAGAAGGAATTAAACCTGAGCAATTGTTTTGGTTTAAAAAGTTAAATAAAAATGTCACGTTTTGATGTTTTAAAGATATCTATAAGTGAACCAAAGAAAAGACTACCCCCTCTGGAGGAAGGCAGTCGGTTTTGGAGGGACTAAAACAGGACCATAGTCATTACAGCCACCATCCCATTTGTTTAAATTTGTTGGGATTCCCACAAGAAAAAAGGCAGATTAAAAAGTGACTCTACCCTATCTAGGTAAAGCTTTGAGACCAAACTTAGTTGTCCTATCACTGACAGGCGGCCAGGGATACCCGATCAGTGGACTCCTTGTACCCCCCAGTAAAAACCTGTTGGATTCACTCTGTGTATAACTGTTATTGGCAGATTGTCTTTGTGCACACAAAACCCTATGTTCCCATTAGCCTGGTTCCTCATATGACATCTATTTATTGCAGACTTAATTATGAGGCACTATCCTGTGCTACTAAAATTCTGGAGCTGAATATTTCTTAAGGCCTTCCTTTTACTTCCTTGAAATGTGAAGATTCATGAAAATTTAAACCTCCCTCAACCAAAAAACATACCCTTTTTCGAGAAGAAACTTGACAACATCTATGTTTCCACTTGTACACGCCATCATTAGTGGTGTTTTGTAATAATTATCCTTCACATCCACTGGTATTCCTGATTCGAAAGCCTTTTTCAGAGAAGCCAGGTCTTCCGCCTTGGTGCTAAAATTAATATTTGAAAATACCTTCCCTGGATCATCAATGTACCAAGCAGAGTCATCCTGAATGGGATGTTCTGGTGGATGATCTCGATTAAACCGGCTGCTATCGGTGACATTTTTGTAGATTTCAATCATGTAATAAGGCAGCCCGCCGTCTTGCCGACGTGGAAATGCATGGTCAGGAATGACACAGATTGGGAGTGGGGGTAAATCAAACCTGCCTTTCCTGCCCTTTTTGCCCATCCCTCTTTTCTTTTTCTTAGGCCCGTAAGATCCCAAGACAAAAGACTTGTTTAGGTATCTGGTTCCCTTAAAGAATTCATTGATGTTGACCCCTCCTCCCCGGACTTTTTCGTGAAGTTGGGCTACGGCAGCCAGCTGTTCCAACTGGGCAAACTCTTGCTTCTCCTCCAGGAACGTCACAAAGTCCTCTTTGGCAACTGTGCCGTCGCCCCTGTCCAGAAATGAAAAGGTTTCTCGAAGGAAAGCCTCATGTTCTATTGACCAGTCGTGTAATCTAAGGGCCCAGAGTGGATTCGGATTTTTGGCTCCTGGCTTGGCTAGTTTATTAGCGATTCGTTCTGCTCGGCGTAGTTCTTTGCTTGCTGCCTTGAACCCTTTTTCCTTAGCCACAGCCAGGGGTGTTTTATGTTCTAAATTCTTCCATTTCAGGTCACATCCTGAAACATGAAGCATCGCGATTCGTTCTGCTCGGCGTAGTTCTTTGCTTGCTGCCTTGAACCCTTTTTCCTTAGCCACAACCAGGGGTGTTTTATGTTCTAAATTCTTCCATTTCAGGTCACATCCTGAAACATGAAGCATCCTTATCATGAATGGTGCCAAAACATCTGCATGACCTTACAAGTGGCATTCATCCAACTGTTTTCTTAATTTAAAGTCAAAAGTTTGTCCCCCAAATGATATGTATATGGGGTGACCACATTTAGCTATTATAATTACAAAATTAAGCTCTCATTCTTTTTCTGTGAGCTTCACTTCGGTGAATTCTGAGGGAGATAAATTGCAATTGGCAATATCTGCCCACCAAGGCTTAGGACATTTATTGCTACAGATATTTAAAAGACACATCATATTGGGGTACTTGGGAGACCTCATTTCAACAGGAAAAGAGCAAGGGTACATTTGAATTTGGAAAGAAGCTGAATTCAAACAGCTTACATCGGATCTTATAAGCTCAGAATGCTGAGTAATATCTGCTTCTTTTTGAAGGATGTAGACTGTAAATTGGTGTACAATCTCGAACTATATTTTATTTGTATTCTCCATTAACTTAACGTAATTTATAATTGCTGTTTTGTGGTAAGGTCGTGTGAACAATCTTAGAAGAAAAAGTAATTTGTTAATCAAATCTCATGATTCCAGCATTATATTTGTGTTCAAGTTAGACATTAAAATTTATTTTTTGTTTTGGTCCCTTACTTAAAATGATGAAACCAACATCATTTATAAATATTCTCCAAAGAAATAAGCTTTCTGAATGCATCAGAGAATCTATTTAGTGCTATGAAAAAGGCTGTGTTATCTGTAATGTGTCTGGAGATGTTAAAAATCTATTGTTTATAAATGTGAGACTATGAAGACCCTCTTTCTAGTGTTTTCAACCTAGAAGAAGGTTCTCCTGTTGCTTTGCCAACATCACATCATCAAAAAGTATTGGTATACAATCAGTATTTCTAGCAACTAAAACATATAGGCAGCTGTATACAAAAATAAAACTTGCCCCTTGAACACCTTATAATCTTACACTTGTCAAAAATATGTTTGCCATGATATGCACAGTAGGCTTCATGCTATTACTCTACTTTTGTGTGTTTGAGAGCAGGAAAGAGAGAGCTGGAAACAAACAAAAAGATCGCCAATGATTTTCAAGATTAATACTTTCTTTGGTATCATGTCAAATATTACATTTTTATACTAAGGATGATAATTTTACTAATGACGAAAAAACTCAGAAAGGGTATTTGGACAATAAAGATTCCAAAATTTCTATGTTGGACAGTTTTAAAAACAGTGACTTATTGGGAAGGGGACCCAGAGAGTGGTCTGCATAGTGTAATTCCAGAGCCTAGTAATTTTGAGTATATTGTTTTTACTTATCTGTTTTACTTATTCAGGATGTCTCCTACCACTCCAGCCGCCCCTTCTATGTTCCACCCAGCACTAAGGATCAAAGGATTTTAAACCTGCTTTAGCTTGCCATTAAAATATTTAGGACCATTAAAACAGCTTATCTCAACCTGGGCAGATCTTTAGTTTTTAGAACTATACAATGATGAAAATGATATGCTAGAATAATGCTGATAGTGACAGATTTGAAAATGGGACCATAAGAACAGTTTGAGAGGGCAAAAATTACATCTGTTTTATTTTTCTTTCCTCATGTTTTAAAAGCGTTTATTATTTGGGGGGGATGGGAAAAGTATGAACTTATAAAAGTAAAAATGAATCAGTTACTACTAGTTAATTATTTAACTATTATTAACTATTAGTTAACTATTAGTTAAAATTACGTGCCTGTGTGGAGGATAGAAAAACAAAACACTTTCTCTGCTCTATTAAAGATCTTTTAGACTTTAAGTTTCTGCCTATTTCTCATAAACTATAAAAAAATAAAGTTCAGTAAGATGCAGTTCTATCTCTAACAAAGAATTTAAAAACGTTTAATGGACATTTAATTAGTGTGTAATTAACAATAAATTGATCCACATCGTTAAACTTAATTAGCTAAGATTTTCATTGTAAGGAACTCATTAAGCTATACATAACACAATTTATAGTCCTAAATTAATATTACCTAAAAGCTGTGGGAAAATCTAAAATAATAAATATTTTTAATATTTCACATTTTTATGAAAATTTTCATTATGTTTTTGGTGCTTGGCCAGTATGGGGATCCAAACTCTTGACCTTGGTGTTATTAACCCCACTCTTCAACCAACCAAGCTAACTGGGCAGGTCATTCAAAAACTATTTCCTTCATAACTGCAAATTATCTGCAAAAGTTATCTTTGCATTTGACACAATAGAACATTTTTTAAAATAAAATAATTTTAAAAATTCAGACTAAAGGAAATAGTTATCAGTATTTGTCCTTTTCTAGATTAATGTTAGCATTTTACAAATAAAGACTTTAATCAACTATAACATTTAAATAATTAGTTGACTCATGAACAGTCCCCTTTAGATTTTTAACAATAACCTAAAAAATTTGGAGAGATGGGTTTTCATCATTTTTAAGACCAGATTCATAATTCAGCAGAAGGAAGTGCAAAAAAAATTTTTTCATTTTTCTTTCTACAATGGAATGAGGTTTGGCTATTGAAAAAGATAAGCAACTGACAAGTGACAGACCCAAATTCTCTGCTCATCTATGACATGGATAAATCATACTTTAAGCACAAAATTGCTACACAGTTGTACCTCGCTGGGCTATATATTTACAGCAGTCTGCAAAACCACCCATGGCAGCGTAATGAAGTGGTGTGTTCCCATTCATTGCAATCAGCCCCATGTCTCCGTTGTAGGCAAAAAGAAGCTTCAGTATCTGAAAAATAAATAGTGGATATTGTAGAGGAACAGGAATGTACTTTTACTGAGTGAAGACTGGCACCTAGACCTGCACTATCTAGTATATTATCTATTAGCTACATGTGGCTAGTGAAAATTCAAATTGAAATGAAATAAACTGGAAAACATTAAAAGTTTAGTTCCTGGGCCAGCCCGGTGGCACACTGGAGAGTGCGCCGTTTGGGAGCGCGGTGGTGCTCCCGCCGAGGGTTCGGATCCCATGTGGAGACTGGTTCCTGCTCACTGGCTGAGCGCGGTGCGGGCGCAACACCAAGGGTTGCGATCCCGTTACCAGTCCCCGGTATGGGCGCGACATCGAGGGTTGCGATCCCATTACCGGTCAGTAAAAAAAGACAAAAAAAGGAAAAAAAAAAAAAAAAGTTTAGTTCCTTAGTTTCACTAGTCACATTTAAATTACTCAAAAGCCACATGTGACTACATTGTTCAATACAGACATTGAACATTTCCATCATTGCCAAAAGTTCTATTAGACAGCATTAATCTAAAATATACAAAACTCTATACTTAGCTGGCACACCATCATCTTGGTAAGTGTAGGCAATTTAAGAAAGCATCGAAATATGGTAAACAACATCTGGGGAGCAAATCCTTTACCAAATGTAGCTTCTATTGTTATATACTTTTATTGCAGGGAAGAGAGTCAGTGGGGAAAAAAAAGAACTGTTAAAACTCAAGGAAAATTGAGTAAAGAAATTTTAGATGAAATTCAGAATGTTAAAAAATAGGATAGTATTCTTATTTTGTTTATGAATGTCACTTATCTATGAGATAGTATTTGTTGATACATCCAGAGAATCAGAATACTTAGAGTTTAAAATTCAGGTGTATCATTAGATGCACACAAACACCAGGGAAATAGAGTATGATGACCGCATTTTTTTCCCCACAATAGGATTATATTGTATTTTGAAGATTTTAATGGAATCCTAACAGAAGCATAAAATAGGGTAGTCCCAGTTGGCAGACATTTTAAATTGTCATAGTCAAGCATACAGAAAAATATTATTTTTAATATTA